CGGACCTACTGATTGATAAATATGCCGGAAACACGCTGATAAGACTGCAGAGTGACATCACGCGCTAAGCCATGCCATTGCTGGAGTGGAACTGATATGGGGAAACGACAAGTTGGTCGTGCCAGGGTGAAGTTCACGATATCGTGTGAGAGTGAGATGAGAGCTTGAAGGCGATCTTGGAACCAGATAAGGAGCACTGCAGAGAGAAGGAAAAAGTAGATATTTGCTATTCCAGCCGGAACTCAAATGAATAATATATATATATGATGGTGACTAACAGTGGAATCTAGGATGCACATTTCGTCCCATTTGAGACTCGTCTGATTACATCTGCAGATATCGTCGAAGCATCTGCACAAGAAGTCAATATGTCAGTCAACCTGAGACCAAGCACTTCGGCCCGCTCAATCGATGGGAAAATCTAAAATTGAATAAAATGAATTTCCGTTTGTCTGTGGTACTGTCGTGTTGTTCTTGACGATTTTTTATTTTGCTATCAGTTGACATTTTATCCCTAAAACACTATCAAAAGACTTCATATACATCTTTTCGATTATAAGCAGTTCCTGAGACTGTGGCATGCATATAAATCCAGTTCACTGTCTTAACCGAGTAGCGTTGAATGAGTAACCAGTTACTGCCTGTTACTCGTTCTGTTGATTCAACGAAACATTCAATACATCGGACTGAAGTGAGTGTGTTGTTGTGATCTGTTTTGTCATTGATTCTGATCAAGTACTAATTCGTTTTCTAAAGTGTACCAGTCCACTTTCCGCATTTAACTCAGTAGAGAAATCAAGCAGTGACATACAGGGATGCTGATAAATTGATATATGCAAATCTGTATGGATTCATTTCAGTGTTGCTGATACTTTTTATGTTTAAAACTATATACTACTGATTTACTCAGGAGAGTAGTTGTATACCATTGGCTAACAACAACAGCAACAACAACAGACAACAATCAGCCAGCATAAATGGGAGAAATTTGAAAGAAGCAACCTCCTTCACCTGCCTACCTGTGAAGCATCGTTTCAACCGACGAGGATATCAGGGTGAGGATCTGGAAAGCAAGACAAGTTTTCATTACTCTCAAGTCTGTGTGGAGAGCAACAGCACTACTCACGATGAAAAATAAGATCGGGATTTTCAGTGCTACTTTATGGATCGGAGACTTGGTGGGTCATGGAGGGCACCTCCAACAAACTATAGACGATCATCATCATCTGTCTTCGCTCAATTCCACTCAAGATCAGATTGCCGGCCAGAAAACATCAGCATTAGGGATCTCTGGGAGAGAACCAACCCAGCAAGAACCAATTGTGCAACAAATATTCAGAAAGAAATGGAGGTGGATTAGTGGTCATACTCTGGGAAGACAAACCATCATCAAGTGACATCACACGCCAGGTCATCGCTAGAGTGGAACCTGGCCGAATAGGAAGTGGCGAGTCAGTTGGTTGTCAGTGCGAGGGTGACATGGAGCAGGTTATGTCACGAGGAGATGAAAGCATGTGGACAGACATGGAGCCAGGTGAAAACGTTGGCATAGAACCGAACGTGCAACGGAGACGTGCGGCTGAAGCCCTGCGTTCCTCTAGGAACTAAAAGAAACAATAATAATACACCGACCAGTAATTCTTGCTAGTCAGATCGAAGTGATTTAATCACTGATTGGCCGTTTTACTTGTCTGGGGCGGAGCTCATTGGTGCTGTACTCTGTGTGACTCAGAGGAATCAATGATATACAAATACTACCCTTAATCAATCAGTAGTATATAGTATCATGCAGTTATTTTTGGTTTCTTGATTATCGTGTATGGCATCAAGATCACACATTGTCACCTCGCTTTTCAGAGGAAACTGTGGCAAAATCATCACCTCGCATTGAGTAATTTGCGAATTGATTCGCAAAACTGATAACTAATTTACATACCGCAAATTCAATCAGTGTCCATGACATAGATGATGAAGATGAATACTTATTGAACAGAAAGCTTGTTGAATTTTTGGCGGATATGAGGAGAAGAGTAATTTGAAACTGGTTCTCAGTCAGACCAAATGAATCAAATTGAGATTCCAATGTCTAAACAGTAATCAATTTTGTAAACACAGTTACCTTAGAGACTGTATTCACATATAGAAAGGTTAATTAATGGATGGTGACTAGCAGTGGAATCCACCAAGATGCGTATTTCGTCCTATTTGAAACTCGTCAGCCAGTGGATATGCCTACAATCCACAGTGAGTGATAATGTACCAACCGAGGCTCAAACCCAGTGCTCGTAGTTTCAAACTCCAAGGCATTATTCATTAGACCACTTGGACCACAAAATATACGCATCCTGGATTCCACTGCCTGTCAACCTCTACCAAATGACTTCAGGTCACTTGATCAGACATCGTCGAAGCATCTACACTAGGGGACAACATGTCAACCTGATACCCAAGCAATTCGTTCCAATCAATTGACGGGAAAATCTAAATTGGATTAATTATAGAAAGGTTACTGGGTATCCAACTTATCCAGGATTTGGCTTTCACAGTAAATTGGTTCTAATAGAAATACAATGACTAACCACAAGGCTGTCGCAAAAAATAATCTAAAATTAAAAAAAAGACGTTGAACACATAATGTTTAAATGATGGTATCTTTATTTAGTTGTTTATGTGATACCTTTTCAATGAGTTATTCTGTATAGGAGATTTCATACTGAAGACAATTGTTTTTCCTCAGATAGAGTTTATTTTAAGTTTAAAAGAGTTATATAGGCGCTTGCCTGTCTACATGCCTTAAAGGATCATGAGGTCATCTACCTTTTTTTAGCCTCAAGTCAAATCCGAGTGGAAAATGATGAATTCGGCTTTGGTTCAAAAGCAGCATAGAGGAATCCTTTGTAAGGTAGAAATGTTGGCTTATAGTCAATCAATGAGCCACGTAAAAAAGACTGCAGAGAACACAGAGCGAAATAGAAATGTGCTGTAGAAGCCTTGTGTGTTCCACTCGGAACTTAAAGGAATAACGATAAATAATGCAGTCGTTAGGATCTGTGTGGAAGAAACTAAAGAGTGTCAGAGTGTTTGAAGAGTCCACAGGTTATATGAAAACAGTTCTAGGTAACACACACACACAAGGGTAGAGAAAACATTGGTAAAAAGATTGAATCGATGTATAGTCAGCAGAAGCGTGAAGAAGAAAGAATAGTATCATGGAAAAACATGAGGATTTGATGGATCTTGGAGAATACTAAGAGTGGATACGTATCCTCCATTGACAGAGATTTTGAAGCATATCTACAGTAGTCTCCAAAGTCTGGTTCTTAGCATCCCAGGCAGTCTACACCTCCCCACATGGCATGACCTGACTATCAGAAACGTCAGAGATTGACTACAGGTTCCGTTTGACTACTCTTAACTATTTTCCAACTTAATTCTATGTCAGCTAAATTGATCATTTGACAAGGAAGTTAGTGGCTTGGTGTGTGCCCAATATGTGTCATACTAGAACAATAATGCATTTTATCTTCTCCTGATATCGGCTTAAGGATTGTATCTAACAATGAAGTTCTACATACACTTTCCAGCTTATTTTACGATTTCAGGAGTTCATCATGAACTGATATCGGTTAAAGGAACATTGGAAAATCAACAGGGAGTACTGGACAGACATCTGTTTCGTTCTAGTTTGGTACTATTCATCAGTACGCGCCAATTAAGTTTCGAACCTTGAAGTTGGAATTCAAGGGTTTGTCAGTGTATCGGGTTCCAGTGGCTTAATTGTCTACAAGCTCACCTTGTAACCAGAAGGTCCTGGATTGAAACCTCATTGTGCGCGTACTGATCAAGAGTACCAAACAAATCTTGGCTTTGTAAGGACTTTGTTTGATTGGTTGGATGATTTCATCTTGAGCTGACATCAGTTAAAGAACCATTGGACTGGGACCCGATCCAATGACCAGCCCATGAATTCTAATTACTGCCAATTCATAACATAGCACGACCACTTCATAATGTCTTCTTCGATGAGTTACTGCTCCATCTTCAACCTGCTGAACCCTAATGGTCACGGCTTTCCACTAGAACCTCAGGTAACTGCCTGATGAATAGGATCAGTCGTTAGTGAGCATGAGATCAATTTCCAGGTATTGGTTTGTAGAGATTTTGTTTGATTCGCTGGAGGATTTCACCATGAGGTGACGTCGTGTTCCAGTGGCTTAATGATCTACAAGCTCGAATTGTGACCAAAAGGTGATGATGAGTGCGCACCGATGAAGATTCCCAAACTAGGACGAAACAGCTGTCCAGTATTCCTGGCTGGTTTCCCAATCATCCGCTAACCAATGTCAGCTCATGATGAAATCCTTAAACCAATCAAATCCTTGCAAACCAACAAACTTGCATATTTCAGGATTATGTAATAGGGATTGTTTTGACTTTATTTTCCTACTGAACACTATTTTAACATTTGATACTCAGTGTACTGATCTATAGTTTCAATTGGGAACATCATCACACAATATGATCCAAGTACATTGATCTGAGGAGCTACAGAGTAGGATAGAATTCATGTTCCACTTTTCGTGATGTTAGCCACAAGTCATCAGAAACACCAAGAGGAGTGAATACGTGTATACCATCACCTGTACAATCAAATTATTCAAGACAAATATTTGTATTTACAAAAGTTTAGAAAACAAATAGGTAAATAGTTTTGACAAATAGAGAATTAAAGTAAACTGATCCTAAAATACATTTACTAAGTCAATATAATTGATAAATATTTGTAAATACTTACTTATATATATTAAAATGTATAAAAGTTAACTGAGCTTTTCAATAAAAAATATTTAATCAACATTATAAAATTATTTTCCCCTTGAATAATGGCCTTTTTATCAAACCTCCTTATTAGATCAACTTTACTATTCCTTATCAGCTTCCAATTCACTAAAGGTTAGTCATCTATTATGATTAATGAGATTTATGCATTGTGTATTCTTTATATATATATATATATACATATATACTTCGGCGATTCATTGGTAGGATATTCGTCAAACCCAGGTTCTAAAAGTGAGGCAATCTGTGATAACACGAATGTTGATGAAAAACACAGCATGATTAAACAAACAAATGTTCAGGTATACATATTAGTCGATAAAGGCTAGTAAAAACAAATGAACCGATTAAATAATGCTAAATTCTAAGGGAATTAAATGAGACACGTTTATAATGAATATGTGATAAGATTAAGGGATGATAAGAGAGGGGTTGAAAATATAAGTAAGTAAGGGGTGGTATAGAAGTCTTTAGTTGGTTATGTCTTAATAGGCCAAGCAAGGGAGGGATAATGGCTGTGTGTACGAACTTCTTGCATTCAGCCACTATAGATAAGGAGTTACCAAACGAAGCAGCAGCAAAAATAGTGAATTCATCGACGAAGATAGATAGTTCTGAGGGACTGCAACAAGGTGTGATATAGATATTTGTGACAAAAATGAAGCTATACCTAGATAAGTGTTTAGGTCGACATTTTACAGTTATACAATCAATATTGTCATTTGAGAATTTGAAACAGACGTTGTTGGCAGTAGACCACTGAGAATTAATAAAAGTGGCAACACCACCACCTCTCTTCTTCTTTGAACTGCATCGGTCTTGTCTGTAGATTGTAAAGCCAGTTAAGGAGACTAAATTATCGTCATATGAATCATGGAGCCAAGTTTCTTGAAGAGTAATTACACCAGTATTACAATATACATTTGAGCATAATAGAGAATGCAAGTAATTAATCATGTTCGATAATGACCTGCAATTTGTGCTCACAATCACAGGAACAGTCATCTGATGCATTGGAGTACACTTTAATGATCTCTGCCACCCACCATGATGCTTTTTCTTAAGGTTATTATATACTCATAAATCAACAGGTTGAAAACATTTTAAATAATCGCGAGAGTAAGTAATGTGACTTGGATACATAATTGAATAATTAAAACAAAATAAATCCGAGGAAATAGATGCAATATGTAGGATGGAAATTTTGGTAGCCCAAGATTTAAGCAGGCCGCCGTGTTTCCTATATGAAACTACTCGAATAGCCCATCTCTGTCAAGGAATCGTAAATATATTCAAATTCCTTTTGTAAGAGGCGTCCGTACATATCCTTCTTGCTCTGTTCGTAAGACATTCAACAACATTTCTTTTATATATTTAATGGGCACATAACTAAGGAAGTGTGTGTATTGCCCTATGAATGTGTTTTTTCTATACACAAATGATTGGGACGCAAACGAAGGATAAGCTAGATAGTTTCGTCATATTTATGTGCATTTATCAATTCAACTGCACCTGCGGTAACAGTTATGTTGGGTGTACGACGTAGTGGACAGCTTAGCCACCGTGTTAGTGAACATCTCCCATCGTGGTGGTTTAACAAATGATAGACGACCCAGATTCAGCTTGTGCCCTGGCCGAAGCACTCCCCTGAACGCCACCTAGTTTACTAGGTGGTAGGTAGTAGTAAGCCTGGTGTGAGACTAGTAACCCCACCGCGTAAAAAGAATAGTACTGTTCATGAAACTTCAGTGCTGAAGCCTCAAGGCATATGTTACACTGGGAATGAAAAGAAATTGGAAAGAAAAATTCTTTAGAAAATAATAATTATAATAGCTTTATTATGCACAATTTCCGGTGTAGTTTATTGCATAATATTAACTCTTCATCCAGGAGATTCAAGTAAGACATCCATCTCCAGTACATCATATCATGCAATGATGTTAGATCTGGAGAATAAAACAATCCACTACGGTACTTTACATTGATCCCATAGAAATGTTCAACGATAGGCTACAAGCCAATTAAAAAATATGCACAAGTAAGTTTGGAGACCCACAAATATAATTGAATAATTATAACAACAAGACCTAAAGAAAATAAGATGCATTGTCTCGGATAGAAATTCAGGTAGCGCAGATATTCAAGTAGGCCGCCAAATAATAGAACACATTAAAACAATAAGTTATTCACTGAACAATACTTTAAAGATGGTTAGTTCATTTTTCGTTGTTGTTGTTGATTGGAATTGTCCTATTCTCCAAGATAGATGCTTCACTTGTGAAGCTTTAACAGCCGACCTTCCAGACAATATCTTTAGAGCTAACTTTAAAGTGAAGTGAATTTAAGTTACTGTCTATGTAGATGATTACGTCACACTTTATCTGTTAGTATTGATCTGTTAAGTCTCAAAATAACTTTCTATTAATATATATATAGGTTTCGGTAAGTTCATTGTCTTCACTTCCTAATGTTAAGAACACAATATTCAGCGAAGAGACTCTTTCCAACAACGAATTTATTATCATGCTGTACAATCGTATATATAGGGGTTGTTTTTAAGAAATTATATCCGATGAGGGAATTAGATCAAAGATGTGAATACATGAAATAATAATAATAGTACTAGTATGAAATGCAATCAAGACATTTGTGATTATAATCATAGTTCATTGTGAAGTGGCAAAATAATTAATGTCATATATAGAATAATTCATGAGATGTATAGATGTTGGAAGTGGGGTTTCATAATTATAGGATTAGTAGGCGAATATAAAATGTTACATAACATGGTGTGTGAAATTTGAAAAGATCAAATTCAATATTGTAAAAATAAAAAAAAAAATAAAAATTTTGGATTTAGAATGACAAATGGGACAAACGGAGAAAATTCAAAGTGAGAATAATATTAAAAATAGTAATCGTAGTAATGAGGGAAAGGTACATCGAATAACTAAATAAACAAAATAAATAAGTAAATGTCTATCTCTCTCTACGGTCAAGGCAAAAATAGGAATTGTACATAATTCTTTTGTACACAAAGGTTTGGCTGGCTTAAAGTCATGAATTGCCAAGGCCTCAGCTGTCTTTAGAAGTCTGTAACGAAGACAGCGCAGCTGACAAGTTAGCATGGATTCGGTAGATGATCTTAAAATTATGGTCATTGTTGGTAGAGTGACAGGAGTTGATCAGGAGTTCTAGAACAGATCTTCGCACACCCTTCCTTTCTCCCTTGTAAAACCATGCTGCTGGAATATATTTTCATATGTTCTTAATATTCAATAAAATTTATAATTTGTCGTGTAAAGATAGGTCTTTCAATATGGAATTTACTCTGTTTCCCCATTCTTCTATTGATGTACTTTTTGATTTTGATAACAGGTTGAACATACCTGACGTTTTATAGAATATGTATATGCTTGATCTATAGATATTCGTATCTGTATTGGGGTTAAATACTAGTAGAGAAACAAATGCAGAAATTTTAGATTAGAATTTGGGTACTACGACAGCCTAGACGGTACTTTCATAAACAGGAGGAACATATGAGACTCTGTGAAAGGATTTTTTAATAAGATTGGAGTTTGGGTGACGTTCAAATCAATCAATTCACTCAGTGATAAAAAAAAACTGTTGGATTAAGGATCTGATAGGTCCATTTAGGCAAAATAATAATAAATTAATAAATGGCATGAAATGATTGAGAGGTCAGTTACATCATAGGTCAGACTAGTAGGTCAAGGTCATTTATGCTATCCGAAGATGGGAATTTGTTGTTATTATATGGTTGGAGGCAATCGACAGGAGGAAGACCTGCCTGACGCTCTTTAGTTGTCAAGACGTCTCTACATTCTTGAAGGAATTCATTTGCCTCCTTTTGAGATTTGAACCAGTGTCACTCACCCAATGCTGCAGTCCAAGGCTTCCTGCCGATTGCCTTCAACTATCTAATGATAACACTTGTGAGTGTACTGTGATGGTGAGCCACCTAGTGGCATGGTAGACATATTGCAAACTTGACTAATGTAATTCAGTCTGCAGTATACAAAGGACTAGACATTCAATCGAAAGATGGGAATTTTGACCGACATAGAATGATTGACTCTGCTAAGTCAAATGACGTAGAGGAAAGCTTAGCCATTGCATTGCATTTACCTGCGTGTAATCAAAAAGTAGCGTGGGTGGGACAGAGTGAGAGTAATTAAATTTAGTGTAGTTTGGTGGGGCTGCAGAAAGAGAGGGGTTAATCACTGAATCTCTGTTCATCAAATCAACACAAAACACGTTCACAATTCAAATGACACAACGCCTATATCGGATACACGGAAAATTCCAATAAATAACAAGGGGAGGGCATATATATACATGGTGAGTCGGTAGCACAGAGGTAGAGTGCTCGCCACCCAAGCATGTGGTCCAAAATTCGATCCCCGGCTGACGCACTTCTTTGCGCCGGTTAGGACGCTCGCTGACCAAGTGCATGGTCCGGTGTTCGATCCCCTGCCGACGCACTCCTGAACCTCGCTAAGCCAGTAATAAGACTGGTGAAGAGGTAAGGTTGTTCATGAAGCTAGCAAATCCATCCGTAAAAATAACCACCACTGCTAACGAAACTTCAGGCCTCTAGCTTGAAGATGCCCTATGATCCATTGGGAACGTAAAGGAATAAAAACAGTATCACTACCGAACTAATCTTCCAGCATTTGAAATACTTAGATACAGGTGATAACAACTACTAATTAAAGTATATGTCGCCATTAAATACGAGTACCGTTTAAGAGTACAAATTATGCAGTAGATGTACCTTACTATGTCAAGTTTAAAGATTTTTTGATTTGCAACAGAAACCAGTATGATATTTACGAATCATGTAAATTAATCTAAACTTCTCAGTTTGTTCGAATTAAGCGCGCATATAAAATTGAACGTTTTTAATTTAAATCAGATGAACAATGAATATATATTTTCAGTAATTGAACTTTTGTTATTAATTTCAAAAATTTATTTATTTTATATAACAGTTGTACAGAGTAATAGTACAAGCGAGTAAGTTAATTTGAATAAAAAAATGTGCTTAAAATGTTTGTTACTTTTTTGTTCAGTGTTCATTGTAGGCTTGTTTTTATTTTGATATGATAATGCAAGCGGAATATTTAAATTTTTACTCAAAATTATGCTGATAACTAACCTATATGAGACTTCTAGAAATGAATTGAAAGTGTATTGTTCACAATTTTTTAATCTTCATTATTTCTTTTCATAATATCATTTTTTGTTTAACTCTCACCTGTATCAGATCTCCAATGCTACCATCGAACCCAGGACCTTCAGGTTACAAGACAAGCTTGTAGACCATCCAGTCATTGAGAACTGATCCAATGACCAATGAATTCTAGCTTCTACCAGGTCGTGACTTTAGTGAAACCATTGGTCATTGTCATCTGTTAGTATGTGGCCTGACGTCCAACAAAGTGAACTCCTCTGGTCATGATGTCTCACTAAAATTCCATACAACTTCGTCCTGTAGCCAATCACTAGCAGAAGTCGATGGACCAATGGATTCCATCCTTGTGGTTGAGCAGTCAATGAGCTTGTCTTGTAACCGCAAGTTCTTGGGTTCGAGCCCCAACGAGTGCGTACTGTTGAAGAGTCTCAAACTATAACATAATGGGTGTCTAGTACTCCCTAGTTTCCAATAGTCTGTGGTCGAAATTGAAAAAAGTCAAGTCCTTACAAACTAACTCTTGAATAATTATACCAATCGTTTGAATGAGCACAGTAATCACCTTTAAACAAACGATCCAAATAGAAATAGGTGAGAAAGTTGAAATCATGAATGTTATTTAGCAGTTACTGAATAAGTTTTCAACAGTAGCTTTCTATAGTTTGGTTTGTAAGGATTAGTTATGTTTTTACGAGTTGATCACGGATTGATATCAGTTAGAGAACCATTGAAAACCAGGGAGTACTGGACAGCTGCTGTTTCATCCTAGTTTGGGAATCATCGCCAGTACGCACCCACTGGGATTCGAACCCAGGACCTTCCGGTTACAAGGTAAGCTCGTATACCATTCAGCCACTGGGACCCGATTCAATGGCCAGTCCCTATATTCTAGCTTCTACCATTTCTTGATTTAGCGCGACCCCAGTGGGTGCATACTGCCGATGATTTTCAACAGTAAACCGTTGAATTTACCAATAAGTAAGAATTTCCTTATCTAAGTTCAAAATCCGATTGACCAAGAGACTATTTCTATCATTACATGGACTCTATTAAGATGAATTCAAGTGCGGGATGTTTCTATGATATCTTCTCTGAAATTCCTATGAGCAACTGGGACATATATTGTTACAGTTGGTTAGAGAACACTATCCTGTTCAATATTCTACTACCATTTTAACGTGATTGGTGGTTTCAAGGTTGACTTGATTGGATGTAGGTTAGCCATGATGACAATTGAAATCAGTTGGATAACATATACCTATTCGGCGAAAATGTTATGGTAATGCCACGTCATTGAACGAAAAGACTTCATTTTGAGTGCCTTCTGACTCTCTGCTGTCAGACAGATCCATCCTAAACTGATAGCGTAGAGAACACGGCGAATTAATTTACAATTTGCAAATTACATATTTCAAGATGAAATTTCCCCAAAGTTTCTTTTATAAAGCAGAATTATTCAGACAACAAGGTGTCTGTCTGTCTATCTGTTTTCGACATAGAACTTTGCACCGATGTGCACCAGTTCAAGTCGCCACACTCCCTCCATGTAGCACACAAAGCAAGGTAAGAAGGTAGAAAGAAATGCAAAATAGAGACAGTAGACGGGGATATAAGACAAAAGGGATAGTGATAACGAAGAACAATATAGTTTTATTGGATATCATAAGTCACAAGGAGTGGATGCATCTGCGCGAGCTATTGAGAACGATGAGTTTGAGCCATGTCACGGATAATTGTCTCCAGCCATTGGTTTTTACCGTCCCGATGATTCCAACAAGGAAGTCTACACCTTCTTACCTGGCCGGCCTAAACTAACTGTTGTGGATTTCACAATGTGTAGTCTGCAAACATAAAACTGTAAAGCTGTATACTCGTGATAGATTGATTAATTTGAGTTGGAAAACATTCGTTGGCTAGGAAACAATAATCTTTGATGTGATTAGTATCTAACTACTCAAATTATAAATCAGTAGTAAATGATACAAACGTAATATTTATCGGCACAAATCACAATCCACAATCATTTAACATTTATCATACTATTTAAAAAGGAGTATAAACTGTTAGGTACTAAGGACATATGGCTCTTGATTTACTGTCGCTTATTTAACTCTCTCTTCCGCTTTATATCTCAATAACTCTACTCAGAACATACTACTCACACACAGCATTATAAGTAGTATGCATTAGATTATTTTCAAATTATCTAAAGCCTGAAAATGTTTAGAAACCTTTTATCTTTATAAGAAAAAAAAATCAAAAATCAGTCAGACTGAAAGATGAAGTGATCGGACAGCTAATCAAGAACATTTCCCAATGAAATAAAGGCATATCATAGTGGAATAATGGATCTTTTCCATTTTTAGGTGAAGTCACCATCTAGGTTGTACATTCATGAAGGTATGATAGAGAAGATTTGTAGCTCAGGTGGATAATTTTGATGTGGTTTTGTTCTCTGAGCTGGATAGTTAGTTTGCAAACTAACTATCCAGCTCAGAGAACAAAACCACATCAACATTCATGAAGGTATAATACATTTTTGTGAAATCCCAAAAAGTCAAAATACAGTGCTTGACAAAATGAATTTAAGTTGGCTTGGATTTTCGGATCATTAATGCTTCCACGATGCACAGGTGTCTTGATCTCACTTGATTTGAAATGCTTGATGGAACCGTGTGTCAAATTCCTTAAATGGAGATAAGTCCTCGTAGTTCCTGGGATGTTTTCTTATAGAACCAAAGATGCACTTTTACTATCCCCTTGCCAATTAGGCTTTGAAGTGTTCATCAGTATGTTCTGCTAACTTCACAGGAATATATTAAGTAGTATATAGAGTCTGATGTGGTTACATGTGAGCACAGACCGTTTGTCAAATGATGACGGTATGGTTTCTCTCAAGGGAATATTAGTCAAAGATTGGTATCATAGCATGTTTCACGTAGATTGAAGATTTAGGTTGTAACTTTTGCTACATACTTTTTTCAATATTACTTGACTTCTAGGACCGTCTTTTTGTTTTTCCTGTGCTGAAAATGGGGTAAACCAGTGATGAGTCCTTCAAAAACGGACTCATTTACCTTGCTGAAAAGGATTTAACAACACCTTTGATTACATTCTACTCATGCTTTAATCAACACACGTGTTAGTCTTCAAATATTGGTTTTGTAGAGATTGTGTTTGATTGGTTGGAGGCTTTCATCATGAGCTGACATCAGTTAGAGAACCATTGAAGAACCAGCCACAGGGGTACTGGATGGGATCCCAGTGGCTGATGAATGGTCTACGAGCTCGCTAGCCATGTAACCAAAACGTCCTGGGTTCAAACCCCTGTGGTGGTGGTGGGTACGCAGCAGTGAAGAGTCCCAAACTAGGCTGATGAAACAACTCTCCAGTACTCCCATCTGGTTTTCAATCGATTCTCTAACTGATATCAGCTAATGATGAAACCCTCAAACCAATCAAACAAGTGGAAGTCATTTAGAAGTGATGTCATTAAGAGGAACCATAATGAAACGGATTTAAAATTTGAATGGATGCGATATGTGCCATTCAGATTCGTTTTTTAGACGTTAACTGCTCACTTTCACCGTTAAGTTCTTTGTATTTTTTGTGTGCACCTAAGGTATACACATGTCATTTGATTCAATTTGAGTGAAAACTCAAGCATTTTTTTCCAGTTTCTAATCACGAAGTTCTGAGCTTAGGTAGCAGGAATAAATGACTTGTGATTACCGGGCGACATGGTAAATCCCTAGGATTACGTAACTGAAGTTAGGGAATGAATTTATTACGAAGGTTTTTCACATAATGTTTTTAGTCTCCTTTGTCTACTTTTCTGTTAACTAATAACTCTATTTAATGATTCTTCTTAAAGAATACAGAATTTCTTCTTAACTATTGATCTATTTTGGTATATTTACCGCTAATAGGGGCATTCAAAAGACGTTCTTTGGTAGGTGATAGTTAGCAGTGGAGTCTAGAACGTTGATTCGGTCTTTCGGGGTCGAATTCATCAGCGCTGTACTCAGTTTGACTCGCTCAGGGAGCCGAATCAGTTGGAACCACTCGATTTCTGGATAGCCATTTGGTCGAATCGAGTCAAACTGGCTAAGAATTTCAGCCCAAAACGAGCGGAATGACCATTCCATGTTTGGATTATCTTGATCTGAACGGCCAACACCACTGGTTTATATAAGTGGTATGAGACTACTCATCTCGAACAATCAGTAGTATACAGGGTATGAGTTATTATTTAAAAAAAACTTCACATTGTATACTTTATTCAAGTTTCAAGCTGAGACACTATCATGCATTGGGATGCAAGTGCACTCAGCTGAAAAGTCTCAAATAGGACGTAACATACATCGATTAACGTTGACACTAAATTGTATAAACTTACCTATTAAGACTTCGGTGCGTCGGTGGTACAGAGCTTGAATGCTTGCCAACCACGCCTCATATGGTTCGGGGTTCGATCCCCGGCCGACCCACTCCTTTACTTCACTGAGCCAGTGGTAAGACTGATAAAGAGGGAAGGTCGGACATGAGGCTAGCGACCTCATCCCGTAAAGATAAACACCATTACTACCGAAACTTCAAGCCTCCCTATGTTCCACTGGGAATGTAAAGTAACTCAAAAAATTAAGGCTTTGAATAAAACCGGACACTGCTGATCTGTGTATTTTAAAATAATTTAGCATTGATCGATAATTTATACTATGGGTTAAATATATTTTACAAAAGCTGTTTTATTATTTGTGATCTTATTTTTACAGTGCAGAACCTGAAGAGTAAGTTAGCTAGTGCAGATACTTTACTTGTAATGATGTCGTCTATAACATGTCATCGTTTTGAGGGGAGTTATCGACATAAAGGGTTGACTGAGCACTTGTCAAAAGCATATGCTTTTATGATTTTCTTGTTCGTCCTATTTTTCAAAACACGATCAGTTTTATGCATTGAAAGAATTGTGATTTTCTCTTTCAAGGAAGATTCTGGCGTAAGCCAATATCATTTGGAGAAGACAACTGCTGTGCACTTTCCATAAGTTCTACGGTTATTGTTGGTTTGTGATGAAGTCTTCCTGGAAGTTATTCAGCTTCCCACAGGGCTAACATACACCTGAAAATGTTTTATTCTGTTCTTTTTTCAGTTCACAATTCTTTGGTCTAACGTAAGTCTTTTAAACTTGAACAGATTTGATGTGGTTGTCCTCTGTAGAGCTAGATGGTTTAATTATGAAGTTCCTCTTGTCTTTGTTGACGACATCTTCAGTGCTTATTTCAGCTGACAGAAGTTAGAGAACCATTGGAGAACCAGTAGGGACTACTGGAGGTCTGTTTCGTCAGCCTGGTGTGGGACTCTTCATCAGTACGCACCCACCACAGAGGTTCGAACTAAAGACCTTCTGGTTACAAGGCTAGCGAGCTCGTAGACCATTAAGCCACTGTGACCCGATCCAGTGGCCAACCCATAACTTCTGCCAATTCATGACATAGCGCAGCCACTTAGCAAGGTCTTCTTCGATGATTAACTGCCCTCCTCTTAAACCTGCTGCACCCTACTGGTCATGGCTTACAGCTTGATCCCCGAGTCACTGCTTGAATAGGGCAGTGGGTGGGTGCGTACTACTGAAGAGTCCCAAACTAAAACGAAAAAACTGTCCAGTACTCTCAGCTGGTTTTCCAATGGTTCTCTGAGTTATGTCAGCTCATGGTGAAATCCTCCATCCAATCAAACTTAATCCCTGCAAAACCAATACTTTTGAATTGATATTTGTCATAGATCAACACTGACTCAGATTGATAAAAGATAAAAAAGCTTTTAAAGCCTACCAATCGCAGTCGAGGTCATTTGGAGAGGCAACTGTATCATTGATTGTTGACTGGGGTGTCATTTATATAACTAACTGAATGTTATCAGGCGTATTTGGGAGATTCATTTAATCGACGCATTTTAAATGAACAATCACTGGGTAAACGTGATTGACAGGAAGCTGCGGATTTAAGTTTTGTGGAACTGGCCATAAAGAACTGTGCGTTGGTGGCATGGCGATTTGTACGACCATGCACATAGTCCAAGGTTCGATCCCCAGCTACCGACGCTCTCCTTTACCTCTCTAAGCCAGAAATAATGCTGGTAAAGAGGAAAGGTTGGACATGAAGCTAACAACCCCATCCTGTAAAATAAACACTGCTACAGAAACTTCAAGCCACTAGCTTGAGGCCCTATGTTCCACTGAGGAACGTGAAGGAAAAAAAATAAGGAACTACTGTCCTCTTCTGAGATTTGTGCCTGCTTCAACTAATATTACAGTGAGAAAAGTTCCTGCTGAACTATTCAGACGGCAGTTGACCTCCTGTGGGGCTAAGATAAACACTTTAGTGAAGGTGAGCATATATTTTCTAGCAGTTTCCCCTACAAATTAGATGGTTGGAGGCATTCGGTTGTGGAAGCATTGGAGCTAGGTTTCGTACTAATTGGTACTAAATGGCGTATCTACAATCTTGAAGGAGCTGATGTCGCCTCTGAGATCCGAACCCTTGTCACCCAGTACTCTATTCAGAGACGTTACCACTGAGCTATTTAGGCTTGCTATTGACTGTTTCTGAACTGAAGTAACTTCTTCTTGAGAAAACTGAAACCGAAAGTATCATATGACCTCAGGGACCTAGGGGACAACTGCTTGAAGCCAGTCAGAAACTATCTGTTTAAAAAGTGACTTTAGGAGTTTTACCAGCGTGAAGATCATACCGCGGGCTACGGACCACTGCAGGGTAAACTAGGATGTACAAAATTCTGATGTCGATCTTTTCTAACCGTCTTCCCATCTATAGAGTAAACAGGCAGCACGGTTGACTTGTTAGTTGTCGAAGAGAGAAGCATCTAGCTCCAATTACACTCTTATTCACTATATTCACTCCCTCAGAAAGGATATAATCACAATTTTTTCAATGTTTTTATTCCTTCAAGTTCCCAGTGGAACATAGGGTGCTTCAAGCTACAGGCTTGAAGTTTCAGTAGCAGGGTTTATTTTTACAGGATGGATGGGGTTGCTAGCCAGCCGCCTCATGTCCAACCTTCCTTCTTTACCAGTCTTTTTACTAGCTTAGCGAAGTAAAGCAGGAGTGCATTGGCTGGGGATCGAAGCCAGGACCATGTGCATGGTCGGCGAGCGTCCTAACCGACGTGCCACCGGCACACTGTCCAATCACAATGTTATGCTCATATCTCATGTAGCATCGTCACGATAAATCTAATAAAATACTAATCACTACATTCTAGTGAAATCTTAGATAGTTTAGAGGAAATTAGTATACCTTAAGCACGTTATGTCACCACATGTCAGGCTGTCGAATGGAATCCCGATGAGAACCAACAGGTCGAGAGTTCGAAATTAACAAGGAGGAAGTTAGAAGGAAGCGAAAACTTTCCGGGAATTATGGAGCCGATTGAAAGTGATGCCAGTGAAGAAGGTCAAATGGAGGTTGTACCACTGAATATATATATATATATATATATATATATATATATATATATACCACTAAGGACAGAAGAATATGAATAATATAATTATAATGATAATTACGTCATATTTTTCTATACTACAGTCAGATGTGCAGTCAGCCATCAGCAATCAATTGGCTGTTTGGTTCTTAATATTGTAGTTTGTGTTCGGAATCAATATATCATTTGTTAATATAGTGTTCGATGGTTGGAAGCAATCGGCAGTCGGCCTTGTCTGACCTAGGTAACGTGCTAGTCAGCACTTGTCAGAAAGGCGTATCTGCAACTTTGAAGGAAGGAACTCATATTCCTTCTGAAATTCGAACCTGCATCACACAGTGCTGCAGTCAAACTAGAAACATCACATTAGTTACTAGAGTTCAATCAAATTGTCTACTACAGTTCTACAGGAGGTCATTCGTGAGCCCAAATAGCTCAATGGTAACGTTGTGGTGAGAGCTGACTGTTAGTCAAAATTGGAGGACAGTAATTTACGTCAATCTTTATGTCCCCAATAATGGTCGTGAGAAAAATGAGAAGAAAGGCTTTGTGTAGGCGGATACAGTTAACATATAGATGATCTGACAAAGAGATGCAAGATTAACTTTCTGTGAGAAACAACCAATCAGAAGACTGTGTTTTTCTGCTAACAATAATCTATAATAATGTACATGAAAATCTATAAATATGTGTTGATTTCCTTAATAAACGATCTTTTGCCTGGCTCTTGTTTTCTTCTGTTACAACGTGGGTGACGCGGGTTCGAATCTCAAAAGAGACATGAGATATTTAAAGGTTACAGATACGCCTTGCTGGCTGACTGACTGACTGGCTGGTGAATGCCAACTAGCACGAAACCTACGTGAGGCAAGGCTTCCTGTGGCCGATTTCCTCCAACTATCCCTAACAACACCAGTTCAAGATACATCGTGATGAAGAGCTACCTAGAATGGTGTTCATATTACATACCTGATTGATAGAATTCAATCTCCACCAAACAGAAAGGACTAGACATATCACACCACTTACTAACTAGTGTCCAATGAAAGTTAATATAGTGTGTTTTTGTCACTTTTTTTTTTACTTTGTATAGAAGTGGCATAGCTTTGACTATTGGGTAAGTTAATTTGTTTTGTATAAGTTATCAACAGTTTGAGCTTAAATTTCAAATATTTTTGACTTGAGAAAATATTTATGAATAATCCTCATCGAAACATTAATGAAAACAAAACACGTGTAGTTCACGAAGAGTCTCTTTTCTGTGGCGAAATCCTTCACTTAGCCGTACACTCACAGTAGATATATATATTTTTGTATGTGTGTGTGTGTACATTAGGTTTGTCTTGTAAGAATAAAGATAAGTTAGGAATTTTGCTATTGTCAAGACATTTCAAAAATCACAGAATATACACATCGGGTCATAGGAGTTATTAAGAAGACAATTGCAGCAAAGAAAATTTTCTTTTCGATGAAGTCATCATCTAGGCTGTACATTCGTGTACTTCAGATAGTTGGGAAAGTTCCAGAATAATTTCCGGTTAAGGGTCAAATTAATAAAATTACAATTAGGAATTAAAATGCCGTAATAAACAGTTGGAGAGAGGGAAGGATAAAACTCAAGCAAAGTAGCATCACAATTATTGGGAAGATTTGACACTGATTGTGCAATTAGGGGTTAGAAATGTAGAAATAACAACAATAGACTGGATGTTTGTATGCAAAATCTAGTGGGATCATAACTAATGAGACGGATAATTGCTCATGCAATTAGGGATTACATATGTAGAAGTAATAAAATGACAAGATAGACGGGAAGTTCAGATAGTGTAAATATGAAAAAGATTAAGAAAAACTTAAAAATAACATGAATAAATAGGAAGTTTGTATAAGAAAAGCAATGGGATCGTCATTACTAAAATAATTACCTGTTTATGATGGCCATGGTAGGGACAAGGGTTGAACGTATTTCTTTTGGATACAAAGCGCGGGTTTGAGCCTTCGGATAGCTAGTGCCTCGGCTATGCCCAGATGTGTTAATTTTACTCCCTTTGGTAGGTTTGATTGGATCTTGCATATTACTTTGAAGGATTTTTCGAAAGGCGCTGATGTCCTGAATTGACCAGATGTTCTGTCACTGAACTGTATACACGCTTTTGGTCTCCTTTTACTAACCAGGCTGGGTAGTGTTCACGAGCGTGTTTTACAAGTCGGCGCATTGTACGGCCAACGCACTTAGCTCCACAAGAGCAAGTAAACTGGTATATGCACGTTGAGGTGGCCCAATGCAACAGCTTGTCTTTCGCGTTCTGGATGAACAGTTTCTTACAGGAAAACGTCAGTCGTAGGCTCGCGGCGAAGTATGTTTTCCTCAGCGATTTTGACAGGCTTTTACGAAGAATTTCTGCTTCAATATCACCTTTGAATTTTATATTAAGCAGAAGTATTTTCTCTTTGGAACGGATTGGACTTGTTTGGAAGTCTTCTTAGATTTGAGATTGTTGTCTATGAACCTGGGCGAGATACCGTTTTCTATAAGGTTTTTTCTGAGATTACGCAGTTCTTCTTCAACTACTTCCTCGCTGCATATCTTCCTAATCCTCGAGGAAAGAGTGTATACCAGGTTCCTCTTTCTGCTTAGGGGCACAAAGTTTTGAAAGTTGGTGAATTGTCCATTCCATGTAGGCTTTTTCTATACGGACCTTTTCAGAGAGTTGTTCACGTTTCTTGTCAGATGGATGTCGAGGAAGTGGAACATTCCGTTGGATTCAGTCTCAAGTGTAAAGTCGATGTTTGGGTGGGCATTATTGAAGATTTGAAGTAGGTTTTTTAAATGACAACTCTCATCACAAATAATGAAAGTATCGTTGATGTATCTCTTGTAGAGATGGAGGTCGTTGATAGTTGGTGATAAGGGGTTGTTTTTAAGCTAGCCATAAAGCAGTCGGCTAGGAGGGGTCCTAAGGAAGAACCCATTGCTACTCTATCTACTTGCCAATATATTTCTTTGTTGAAACTAAAGTATACGTTGAAGGTGCATCGTAGTAACAATTCTTTGAGGTAATGGATCGGTATACTGACATCGATGCTATTGGATTGAATGTAGTCACAAAGGAAACATACGGTTTCTATCAATGGAACGTTGGTGAACAGAGAGATGACATCAAAGGTGACCATTTTTTTTTCTGCCAAGTTGACATTCCTAATTGAATCAACAAAGTCGAATGTGTCACGGAGGTTGTGTCTTGTCAGCTTCTCTTTCACCGGTCCGAGAATCTCCACCAGCCATTTCGCGATTGTATGATATGGTAATAATCAAATTGCAATTATGGGAGTGGGTTTGGATGTGAAGATTGGTAATAGGGTAGTGGTGATATGTTGTCAAAAAACAAGATAGTTATTAATGTTGATCAATACATAAAACAAGTTGAATAAGCGTAATGCATTTACGTTATTAGATGAATAGTTAAATTAATGAGTGAGTTGTGATTAGGATGCATAAAGAAACAAAGGGAAATATGGAATTTTGTTTGGTTGGTTTGAAGGCTTTCATCATGAGCTGACATCAATTAGAGAACCATTGGAAAACACGCCAGGAGTAATGGACATCTGTTTCGTCTGCTTAGTTCGGAACTCTCTATCAGTATTCACCCACTCAGGTTCTGGGCCCGAATCCAAGTGGGCGCGTACTGGTGAAGAGTCCCAAACCAGGACGAAACTGCTGGCTGTCCACTACTCCTGGCTGGTATTCCAATGGTTCTCTAACTGATGTCAGCTCATGATTAAACCCTTCAAACAATCAAAGATAAGTTAGTTACGGTTATTGTTGTCAAAACATTTCAAAAATGTGATGAGTAATCAAACTGTAACTAGTTGGGGGGGGGGTGGGGGGAGTTGGGTGGAGATTGTTAAGAGGGTAGTGGTGATATGTGTTGTCAAAGTTTTCGGGTTTTTTCCCTTCACGTCCCCCAGTGGAACATAGGGCTTCAAGTTAGTGGCTTGAAGTTTCTGTAGCAGTTTTTATTTTACAGAATGGGGCTGCTAGCCTCATGCCCAACCTTTCCTCTTTACCAAATTTATTTCTGGTTCAGCGAGGTAAAGGAGTGCGTCGGCCGGTGATCGAACCCGAACCATGTGCATGATCGGCGAGCGTCCTAACCGCTATGCCACCGACCCACTTGTGTTGTCAAAGGAAACATATTTATTAATACATATAAGCGTAATGCAGTTACCATAAACTATTTAAAATAATCCCAGCGTGTTTAAGAAAAAAACTCACAAGAAAGTGGAAACGAATCGGATACACGCTAAGGGCAACACGCTTGAGTCCCATCACTCACCAGACCGTCTAGTAAAATTCGTATGTTAAACAGAGATTTACACTTCCGAGGATGATACAGAAGAGGTCATGTACCGAGGAAATGAATGTTTATGGGCAGTCGTGGAATCAGCTAATAAGGACTACACAAAACAGGACACCACAGTGGAGATGTGCTGTTATGAAGTCCTATGTTCCATTCGCGAATCGAAGGAATAATAATGATAACACCAACAACAAGAGAAACAAATCTGTTATTGATGTATCTTTGATAATTTTATGAGAGAGATAAGACAAATAAAACAAAATCAATGTAATTTATTGACATCTGTGATTTAACCGAATTGTTCAACTTTTCTTAGCATAGGAAATTTTTAAACTTATGCTCAAATGTTACCATAATCACCGTTTTGTTTGTGATTAGCAATGGAATGCATGACTTACGTTTCGTCCTATGTGAGATTCATCATCCAGATGTATCTCAAGAGAGCTTCAGTCTCTGTGTGAACGAAATCATTTACATGGGTGAAGTGGCGACTACATCAGACTAATGAGTACCAGACATGAAGAAATGTAGGCCTCAGATTACACTAGTATCCAATCAGAAATATCCAGCACAGTCCGACAGGAGGTCAGTTGCGACCCCGAATAGCTCACTGGTGACTGACTGACTGACTGGTCTCAACATAGAACTTTGCGTAGATGTTCAGCAAATCAATTCACCACAATCCATGTGGCCCATAAAGTAAGGGAAGAAAGTAAAAAGGAATTGAAAATAGAGAAAGTAAACAGAGATGTGAGGCAAAAATAATAGTAATACCGAAGAACAGTATAGTTTTATTGGGTATTATAAGTCACAAGGAGTGGATGCATCTGCGCTGGCCATTGACAACGATTTTGAGCCATATTACCAATGTTCTCCAGCCTTCATTGGTTTTTACCGTCTTGAGGACCCCAACCAGGAATTCTATACATTCATACGTGACTAGCTTAAACTAACTGTTGTGGATTTCAGTGACTGATGAAGCCATGTTTTGGCGTAACCTTTACTGGCTCTTTTCCAGCGCGACCCTATGTCAGCTAACATTGCCCATCAAGGAAGGCAGTGGCTAGGCATACGTGACACATATCCTAACCATCTCAATCGATGTAGCTTCACATCCTCGTCGATTGATTTCCCCTCCTTACCTAGCTCAATGGTAACGTCTCTGATTGCCGGGTTCGAATCTCAGAAGCAGTACGAGTTCCTGTGAAATTGCAGATGCGCCTTGCTGATGAGTGTCAACTAGTGCGAAACCTAGGTGAAGCAAGGCTTCCTGCTCGATTACATCCAACCATCAAATACCAACAATTCACAGTGCAGTGCACCATGATGGTGAGACACCTAGTGGCATGGTGACCACATATATTGCAAACTTGACTGACTGATAGAATTTAGTCTGCACCAAAGATGATAGGACTAGGCAAACACATTACACTAGTTGTCAACTTGTGTCCAATCAATAAAAAAGGTAATCAATATTACTTATTTCAAGTTAATTGTTTCACTCATTATGACATATCTCTTTAAATATCCCTCCATATTAAAATATTCAATATTCAGTAGTGTATACAACTCAATTGAAATTCAAATTTTTCGCCTATTTTCTTTTCTTTTTTTGCTGTTTAGCTCTCAAATATGGTCATTTTTAAGTGGATGTTTTCTAAGTATGGAAAATTTAGAAAAACTATTTTTCCCTTAATAAAATGCCCAAAATAGAGGGGAAAAATCGCAAAATAAAACAAAAATTTGTTGAAATGACATGTGTTCATAGTTTAAATAAAATAAAGTTTCATTCTCTTATGATCTAAGCGTTAAAATGTTTTTGTTTTCTTTCATTATTGGACTATATATCAATTAGCTTATTACTATAATGGTGTGTACTACTGATAAGTGAGCTTGTAAGTAGTATGTACTGTGATGATTTCTGGTAAAAGTTATAAATTAACACAGATCTGATAACGTTTCCGTCAGGGGATTCAGAAGAAATTGCCTATCAGTATAGTGAATGTCTGATAAAGAGGAATAAATTTGAGGTAAACTAAAGTAGCAGGAAGCACGGATGAGAAGAATTTATCCACATTTTGGTACTCAGTTACTTCATCAGCAGAGGATGTAACTGTATTATTGTTATCCCTTTGGGTTTCGAATGGAATATAGGAGGCATTCAACAGCACATCTTTATTTTGACCTTTTCTCTGAAGTCTTTTTTCGGTTGGCTGTATGGCTACTTATAAGCTCTGATCTCCTACTCATATGATCTCTTCCGTGTCACCCTCTGACTCATACTCAACTAATCGTTTCTTATTTGGGTTCCCTCTCGAGGGCTGGATGGACGGGCGATTCCACTCAACGGTCTCCTCAGTGTTTGTCCAATCCATCCCCATTTCCTCCTGAATATTTGTTGAGGGATAAGTTGATGGTTGGTATGTTTCCACAGTAATTCCATATTAGTTTGTTTATTAGATGGATATATCACACAGTCAAACAGTATTATTTACTGGACGACAAAGTTTTGAACAAAATTTATTATTGTTCATAATCATATCAATTGTAATCACACGACTTTGAAACTTGAGTTTTATAGTTTTGTTTGTCTTCTCCTATTTGTCGTCGTAGGGTTAGTAGAATTTTCCAGATATCCGCCCGGACAGGTGTTGAATCATTCCTATTACACATGTTCCCTGTCAGTTGATTCGATAAACAAAGCTTTTGTTACCAATCTCTTCCTCCAATCTGTCACATAAGATTTTAAATTTGTCATCCTATCCCATCCTATACTGTATGGTTGTGTGTGACTGCATGCAGTGAGTGGTATAGCTGAACTATTCTCTAGATTTCTTATCTTATTTGGGTCAACAAATCTAGATTTAGCTAGGTTTTTATGTTCGGCTAGTCTGACTGCCCCTGTTCTATTAGTTTGACCTACGTATTTGACCTGACAATCATTGCAGGCAGGGTATTAGATAAACTAAATTGTTTTGTTTTAAAGGCTCCACAGGATTAATGTTTTAACCGACAAAGCTTGTTTCTAATTGAGTTTGTGAGTGGTTTGAATGCCAGCCACTTTTATTCTTGCCTTGTTAAGAATTTTCCGCCGTGGGGTTTCCGAGGTTCCTTCTTTGTATGGAATTACTACTGATGATTTAGGTTCCTTATTGTTAGTGTTGTCTTTCGTATATTTAACATGCATGTCGCCATTAATATTATTATTGTCATTATTATTATTATCACTATCACTACTATCACTATTTATTTTATTTTTACATTTACTTACATATTTCCTGATTAATTTATCCGGGTAATTATTAAGTTTCAAGGCTTCTTTTATGTGTCTCACTTCCTGTCTTAGATTTTCCTTGGTACTACTTAGTTTTTGTGCTCTGTCATTTAAACATTTCATCAATCCAGTTTTTGCTGACATAGGATGGGATGATCGGAAGTCCAAATGTCTATTTGAATGTGTGGGTTTCCTATAAACACACACTGGTGTTTAACTTCCCATCTTTTCTCTTCACGCTACAATCTAACATTGGAAGCTCCCCTTCCTGACTTTCCAATTCATAAGTTAATTGAATTGACCCTACTTTTGAGTTGATGCTTTCGAAAAATCTATCTATATCCTGTGTTTTAAGTACAGTGAATGTGTCATCTACATACCTCCATCATACTTTCGGGGTGAGGCTAAACGTTTCCACAGTATCCTGTTATTGATTCTTTCTAGCCATCTGATCTTCAGTCTCGAGTCTGTTTGGTGACACGCTAAGTCCTTGTGCCAAATAGAAGAACTGACTCATCACGGGCGCTAAGAATCTGAATTTTATTTCCCTGTTGATTGCAGTGTTGATGTTCATGTTGATTCCAGAGTGATGAAGGTTTGTCTTACCTTTGTGATCCTGACTTTGAAATCTTCATCAGTGTCCTCTATTGTTGAATTAAAATGCTGTCTAGATAAGTAAAAGAAGTGACCTCATTCAAATTTCACCCATTGACAATGACTGGTGTTTGCGGTTGTACGTTAGACGTTTTATCTTCGTCATCTCCGTCTTCTCTATATTCACTTGAAGTCATCTTGTAGCTTCTTCTTACTCTGTAAACATGTTAGTTTCATCGTGTAAGTCATTGAGTTGACGTGACATTTGACATAAAACCGTACAAACTAACACTCGGAGATTGATCCAATGCTCAGGATGAAATATTCGCAGCCTCAGAGGAGCGGTCATAACCCTTGGTGCTCATCAAGTTGGGGGTGTGAAAAATGTTACTCAGCTGATGATGTTGGACGACGAAATGTTAGAAGTTAGAACCACTGGATTTTAACACAGTAGCCCAATGGTGATATGCCCCTCTCAAAATCTAAAAGCCTTGCATTCGGTCCTTGATGGATTGATGGGTGGAAACTGATTTACAGTCCCTGAGTAGAACCAATTAGAAGTCCAGTGATGTCTAGGTTTTAGGGATCCGATTGGTTTTTTGAAGACTAAATATGTTTCAGAACACGTGGTGCTGGATTTATATTCAAGTTTAAGTGCATTTGGCGTCGGCGGTCCACCCACGCATGCAGTTCGAGGTTCTATCCTCGGCCAGCACACTCCTGAACCTGACTAAGCCGACAGTAAGGCCGATAAAGTGGAAAGGTTGGGCGTGAGGTTAGCGACCCCACTCCGTAAAAAACATCACTGCTACTAAAACTTCAAAGGTGAAAGTTAAACCTCAGGCACCACTAACTACCAATTAGCGGACGACTTTCAACGGACCATTCACATGAAAAAGAGATTTTTGATTAAGGAGAACGTATATTTATGGAAAAAAGGCATAAAAACTGCATAAAACTTTTACATAGGGTAGCTTTCTCTAGCATGTGACAGAAACATCTCCTAGTTTAGCATAGGAGTGTCAATAAAAAGTCACACCACATTCTATACGCATATATTCATCCAAATGACTATAAATGAGATCCTTTTGAGATCTATTTATAGCCCTAATCCTATTTTTAATCTTCCTCAAAATCCTTCTGCAGAATTTGTGTGTATGTCCCCGTAATGGGATCCACAAAATCACTGGAATGGTTCACTCTGTGATGAATATATCCAAGAGATGACAGCGAGTTATAACTTCTGCATTTAGCAGTACGTACTATAGATCCCTGTTCACCAGGTATGACAGTTTCGTCCACGTTTACGATGATACCTTCTCCGCCTAACAACGAAGTAATTCTTTCCATTTCCTTGAGGCGATGTCTCTGCAGTATTGGTACCACTAGACTTTTGTCACGAGGCTATTTTCGGTTTCAGCAGCTGCGCCTCTCACAGGCTGTTTTAAAACCCAGTAATTACAAATATACAAACTCTGGGTTAGGGAGAGATTTGACCTAGCAAAAAATGCTCCTACGAAATATTCAGCTTACCTTCCCTTGTACTAACTCGTCTCAAGCGAATTGCACAACGATGGACATATCCATCAATCGACCTGCTAAAGCTTTTTAAACTTATGACACCACCACATGAACAAATCCTCTCCTTCCTAAGGAAGCCTTAATCAGTGGCAATACTACGAACCCTTATCCTCATCGAACTGGCAGGCATTTTATACGAATCAATCGCTATACAACCTTGAACTCACGTGCATGAACCTCATTGAACCATTCGAATTCATTTGCTGATTAGTAGTTAGTGGTGCTTAAAGTTTAACTTAGCCCTTAAAATCTCCACCTTGAAGACCTATGTTTCACTAGGTACGTAAAGGAATAAAAAAAATTAAGCGTATTTAGATTTTAGAAAGAAGAGAACACGAAGTTCAGCAAAGATGGCGTCGATCTTTTCGTCGATTTCATTCTCAAAAGCAGCTGTACAATCGCATTTATATAGATTATTTTACATGGGTACAATTATTATTCTTTGTTTAATTCCACATAGTAACGAAGGTGATATCATGTACCTAGTTTAGTATGTTCCCTTTGTTTCCCTCTTTTATTTTTCTCTTCCTCGTCTGTTTTCGTTCTCGTTTTTTCCTTTAGAGCATTTTTCGTTCGCTGTGTGTCTGATCCTTATTCCCTCAGTCTTCATTAGATCCACCTAATTTTTTTTCAGTTATAAAAACAATTATTTTAAGTTTGTTTCCATGCTTTTCCTGTTCACACTTATAATTCGTTTGAAATGACTGTTTTACAACTATTATCTTAATCCTGTGCAATTTTTGTGTTTCTAAGGCTTTTGTAATCTATATTCACACGTCCTAACTTACATTTCAAGTTGAAAAAATTTTGATTTCAATTTGTTTCCATGCTTATTTTATTCACACCTGTAATTTGTTCTATCCCTGCGTTTCTAAGCCTCTTGTAATTCATATCAAGTTGAAACCACAATTATCACCTTTTATTCGCCTTTAAAACTATTATTTCTCCAGTTATCAATTATTAATTTTTGCATACGTTGTAACTGTTTTCTAATCCTATGCAATCTTGTCTCTTAGCCCCTTGTAATCTATATTCATACCTTCAAACTTTTATATCAAGTTGAAAATTATTATCACCTTTGTTACTATCTGGAATTAAACAAAAATAATAATTGTACCCATGTAAAATAATCTATATAAATGCGATTGTACAGCTGCTTTTGAGAATGAAATCGCCGAAAAGATCGCCATCTTTGATTGTATGGAGGATTTAATCATGAGTTGACATCAGTTAAAGAACCACTGGAAAACCTGGGAGTACTGGACAGCTGTTTCGTCCTAGTTTGGGACTCCTCATCAGTACACACCCACTGGGTTCGAACTCCGGTGGGTGTGTACTGCTGAGGAGTCCCAAACTAGGACGAAA